CAATTTTGGGCAGAGAGATCTTGAACTGATGAACATTTTTACACCTTGTCAGATTGGCTCTAAATGCTTTAGTTTCAGAGATCTGCATTTTACCCCAATGTTCTTTTTTTAGACATGGCGGCCATCTTGATTATTGGGGAGTCATCGGATACTTTTTTGAAACATGATACCCTAAGGATGATTTTGGCCATATTTGCTTAAATTTTGCCAGTAGTTTCAGAGGAGAAGATTTTTGTTAAAATCATCGACGACGACGGATGCTAAGTGATGAGAAAATCTCGCTTAGCCCTCTGGGCCAGGTGAGCTAAAAAAGCAAAACGGACAAAAAGCAAAAGTTTCGGACAAAAAGCAAACTTATCGACAAAAAGCAAAGCGGACAAAAAGTAACGGACAAAAAGCAAAAGTGTCGGACAAAAAGCAAAATTATCGGACAAAAAGCAACGGACAAAAAGCAAAAGTGTCCGACAAAAAGCAAAATTATCGGACAAAAAGCAAAAGCGGACAAAAAGCAAATTGCGGACAAAAAGCACCGTATCACCCCCCTCTGGATCCGCCACTGGTATTTGGCACAATTTTTTGGAATTTTGGGTCATCAATGCTCTTCATCTTTAGGCCTGGCACATTTGATTACTAGATTGTCGTAATGTTATATTGTATTTTTTATTTATGTGTTTTTTTGTCCTGTATTTTCTTCCATTTGTGTGTGTGTGTGTGTGTGTGTGTAACGTTACTGTCTGAAACACAAGTCCGTCATAATCATATCTAAATTCGTACTAATAATTTATTGAAGCTTTAATACAAACACAAATCTTAGGACACTTGCTTTTTTGTCCTTCTTTTGCAATTTTTGCATCTATACTAAATTTTGCCAATATATAATCAAAATAGCAGTTAATTGAGATATCTTTTGACTGTTTATTATGTTGTATTCTGTGATCAAATATACTACCAGAATCTACATCACGACATGAAGCTGTGATACTGTGAATTTAAGTAAAGATTAAAAGATTTGAAGATGATCCTGGTTATAAATTTACTAGTCCAAGTAATTTCCAAATAGCAATCCTATTTTGAATTTAATCAATGTACGGAATTACACATCAAGATGTACGGAAATACACGACATCCGTACGATATTAGCCACAGTGACTTTTCTGTTCGATATGCTCATTCTCGGTATTTTACTTTGAATAGCAAGGAAAATGTCAAACATTAATACTATCTACGATAGATCTAGTTACCGGTTTCCTTCTAAAATATTGAAGTATCAAACAGGGAACCAAATGACATCCATTTCGGACCAAAAGTGTACGGAATTACCTAGTCCAAATAATAATGACGTCTTGGAAGGCTATTTTAAATTTTTGATTTGACGCTTTCCTGCGTCGATGTAAGGCGTCAAAGAAAAAAAATATAATAGCCTTTCAAGACGTCATAATTATTTAGACTAGGAATTACCCGGACCAACTCAATCACTTTTCCATTGTGGCGTCAGATATTTTCTATTATGACGCCAAAATTTTACGGGAACTTTTGTGATGTCCAGTAATGGCGGACAAATAGCGATAAGGTGTATACACATTGCTATTTGTCCGCCATTACTGGACATCACAAAGGTTCCCATATAATTTTGACGTCATAATACAAAATATCTGACGCCACAATGGAAAAGTGATTGTTGTATGATGTCAATGGTTCAAGCGGGACAGAATTCCAAATAGCGATAAGGTGTATGGTAGTTATATATATGATATATGGGTACTATGTTCAGGAGGATGAATTCTAATATATATACGTAAAATACCTGTTTGGTTTTGGAATAAAATCCTGGATCTAGATTCCCTCATCAACCGCCATCATTGTTAACGCATCCAAGTCATAAACTATAACGTCACAGTACCCAAATTGCATCGAGTACCCAAATTGCACCTATTCAACAAAAATAGCTGCGGAAATCTTACAAGTTTTCTTTAAGACTAAACAAGTTGTATTTTTATGATTTGACATTATACACGTCTTTCAACATATGTAAATATATTTAAATATACACTGAACGTTCACAGTATATATCAACAGATGAATCATTCCCTGGAAAAAGTAAATCTACGGAAACGTCGCCATGCGACGTTCTCAAAATGTCATCTTTGAAAATGAGCAAATTAAACATGTTACAAGCATCCATTTCTTAAAAAATGAATAGTAAGCATGGAATAATGTAAAATTGTTCAAAATATTTGAAGAAATAAATCAAAATATCTGTTATTCGATTTTTAAGGATGTGAATTTAAACATGAGTGCAATTTGGGTACTCCTCATTACAGAATCATGGATCGTTTGGAGGTCGTTTCAAACCCATTTTTCTATGAATCAATATGGATTCAAAATTAAATTGGTGTAACTATATAGTAAATAAGGATACGTCTACAAAATAAACACAGAATGGAAACTTTTGTCTGGATCATAAAAAAACGTAGGTGAAAAAACTGTCAAAATAGGTGCAAGCGGGACAGAATTCCAAATAGCGATAAGGTGTATGGTAGTTATATATGGGTACTATGTTCAGGAGGATGAATTCTAATATATATACGGGATTTTCTCGCTGCATTGAAGACCCATTGGTGGCCTTCGGCTGTTGTCTGCTCTTTGGTCGGGTTGTTGTCTCTTTGACATATTCCCCATTTCCATTCTCAATTTTAATTTGGGTACCCTCACGTTAGAGCCTTTTACATAGTCAGTTCCATCTGCCAATATCACATATTATAAATACCTACAAATACAGGCGATAGATTAAACTCAGCACCATTGTATATTGATGATACATGTATATAGTATCAGCTCATTCAGATTTGAAAATGTGAGCAAAATAGCAGCACCATCTGAAAATGGAAAACCTTGATTGTCTCGAGCATGTGAATCAAACAAATAGTAATTATCATCACGACGAAATATACTTATTGTAAGACCTGATGATGTGAACAAATTAGAATCGGATATATCAAATGCAGTTCTCAGTGCTGTTGAAATATCAATTGACAATGACTGCTGATCGCCACTGTGTTCAACAACTCCAAAGAATGAATCATCATGTACGAGTACTTAATTTTAAAACTGTCTACCCCACATGCGAACATCATTTGGGACCTCGCTGTGTTGCAAGTATCTTGGGTTTTCAGGAAATAAGATGCGATCATATAAATTGCTGCCTTCAATAATAATTTCATCTATAGTCGTAGACGTCCAGCTAGAGGGGTCATTAAACTGAACATTGTAAAAAGCTAATATAGCAACAGCTGCCACTATAGTGCACTGAAACCCTTGCCCGTAACTATACCGTGATGCTTGGTGTATGCTTCCTTGCACACACGAAACCATATTGCTCATCTTGTTTGCTTGTTTTCTATTCTTCTGATCAGCTGTTTATCAATCGTCTGTTTTGTTTACACCAGAAATCATTGACGCGGTGAAAGCGGGGGAAACGAAAGGACATCTCTGTATCAATACGGCAAATTCCGTGATTAAAATATTTTCTAATCAATATGTCCAAGCAATGAAAAATATGAGGGTAAAATGTATTTCAACCGTTTCAATGCGTACTATAAAGTGTAGATTATATGTATAATTGTTTTTTTTTGTGGAAAGAACTTTAATGATACATAAATATACACCTTCGTACCAAAATTGCAACATAATTTCAAGATAACATAAATTTCATTATCACAGAATAATATTATTTGCACCAAATTGACAGGGCTTTGTGAACTAACATTGGTTCATTATGATAGCAATTGAACACTTCATTATAATTTGTACCGATGACCTACTATCATGATTTTTATCCGACCCCACTTACGGACGCGTTAACATATAATGCATACAACTCAATAATACCCAATCAGACGTTAAGATATTCTTAACTTCACACAGAAGCAGCCGGGAAGCAGCCATTTAATGTTATTTATAACCAATGAGATATACCGTTAACAGATTTACCACATTCCAGACGTCCAGCCTTTGACTAATCAGACCGGATCTCAAGTGATCCGGTAATGAACGCTAAATTATTGATTTGAAAATGAAGAAATAATTGTGCCTTAGCTTTTGCATGTATAATATTTTATATCAGACAATCCTGTTATTAAAGTAACAGATAACCGTGCAGACATATATTGTATTAATTCTAAACTATACTAGTTGATATGCATTATGTAATTATGTAATAGAATTAACATATTTAAACTTTTGTTGAATTGCTTTAGATATTGTTTTAATTGACTGCACGTAACTGTTTGTTTGTGACACCAGGTACTGTCTGGTGAATTTTCATGGTACATATTTAAATAAAATGTAATCAAGAGAAAAAAGTAGTTGAATTACTGTATCATTAGCCTGTCAACACTGAGATTGTGCATTCGAATCCCGCACGTAGCATGTGCGCTCGAAACTAATCTTAATTGACTAGGATTGTCAGTTTTTCCTACCGAAGGTCGGTGGTTCTCTCCGGGCACTCCGACTTCCTCAACCAATAAAAACTGGCCGTCACGAAATAGCACAATATAGTGCTGAAAGTGGCGTTAACACCAATCGATCAATCAATCAATCAATCAATCTTATAAAAAAAATCCTCTCAGATCGTCTAAACTACATATCCCATGTAATCAATTTATCTCTTGCTTGTATCTTCTTTTCGTCTGCATCCTTTTTCCTTCAAAATGAACTATGCGTTTTTGTACAAATCCCCTTATTTTCAGCAAGGATAACCTTGGGTAGATATTTGTTCTGAGCAAAGTTTCTATTGTAGCTAATCTCAATCCTGTCCTATTGTTGAGTTGAGGTTTGATACATAATTTTTTTTATAAATAACGATTCAGTATGAATTAAGTAAAATATGACAAAAACATTATATCGTTGAGCAGACACATACTTAGCGTCATGATAAAAAAAAAATGATACAAAGCATATTAATAGTTCACTGTTCATTTAAAGGTGTTTTGGCTGGAGACAACATAGACTATGTATACACGGAGCCAGGAGGAAATGTCACTTTAAATTGTTCAAATAGCGGAAGGATTATGCAGTGGACGTTAAAACCAAGGCATAAAGACATATTGAGTTTAACAATATCGGAAAATGAACTAATAGGCCACAATCCTCCTGAAATCCGTTATCATTATAAAGTAACTGATGGTGACACCTACAATTTGCAAATAGTAAATGCAACAAATTTTACAGAAGGGCAATACAGGTGTCTTGCGAATTTTACTACAGAACCTGATTGTGTTCATTATTTTGATTTGCTTTTAAAAGGTTGGTATGCATAAATTCACTTAACACAGGGTTAAATGTAACTAACATTTGCAACAACCCTGGATATCTATCTATACATCTACCCGTATGTATTAATTGTATTTCACACTTGTACTCGCGTTTCTATGACCGTGTCGCCAATCAACATAGATTTCGCCTAGTAAGCCCTTAACGATAAAAAAAAATACCCATCCTAAAACCATTATTTTGTAGGACAGATGAGCAGAATAACGTCTTGAAATGCACGAAGTAACAGGTGCTGCGGATAGTCTTATATGGACATAAAGTAAACCACAAAAAATGAAAAACCTTATAAAGAATTTGTAGTTCTGAATATGAAGTATAAAAATCGAGAAAATAAAACAATCGAGAATGTATCCATGGGACACAGATGATGCCCCCGCTTGCATATAACGTTATAAAGGGACATAACTAGAGAACTTTAAAAGTGACGCCACCCAAAATCGAACTTGATCTGTGTTTTGTGGTAATAAGCATTGTGTATAACTTTCATAACATTTTGTTGAGGCAAACTAAAGTAAGAGAACGGAAACCAATTTGGCGACGTACGTACGTACGGACGGACGGACAAGGGTTAACCTTTATCCCCCCACTACGGTGGGGCATAAAAAGAAATGTTTTGCTCCTAACAATAATCTCATACCGTCCTCAAGGTCAAGATAAAATCCCATACAAAAAAAACAATTTTGTTTCGTCGGTTCATTGGTCCTTATTTAATGTTAAACCAAATGATTGACCATAGTTGTAAATTTTGTGATATAACTGAAGTTAACACTTGAATAAAAAAATAGATTCAAAGAATTTTTCTCTTGCTCAGGCAAAGGTAAATGTTAATATGGCAAATGTTTCTAATTAATCCCAATTTTAGGAAATTCCCTCCCTGCCCATGTAGGGAGGATTTTGATATGCCAAGACCCGCAGAACGATTCTTATATGTCAACCTTACCCCTCCAGAAAGTAGTTAAATGCTTTGGGAGCACGAAATCACCCGAATTAATGTAGTTTTCTCTCATCGTGATTTTTTTTTTTTTTTAATTTTAAATTTTATTAGCTCCTCCAAAGTTTTGGCTTTCAAAGCTCTTCAACTGCTATTTTGATTTTACCTCCTATCTGTTTCGATTCAAGCGCCACTGGTAAGTCTAATGTAGATACACGATATCGAAATTGATTCTGTTTAATAACATTAACGGTACCATTTGTTCTGCAACAATAAATGTCGCTTCAGTGATGCTCGAGGCCAAAATATTTGAAAATCCAAAATTGATTATAAAAATGAAAAGCTTATACACCGTAAAGGACAAAAAGTATAGCCAAAGCCGGGCAAGAAATCAGAGCTTTGTATGAGGGAGATATATTCCTTAATTTAAAATAATTTTCAAAATTCCGTAACAGCAAATTTTAATAAAAAAATGTACGTATTTTCATACTGTAAAATAACACTTTATAAATTTAATGCGTCCAAGCGCTGTTCTGGATTGGTCGTCATCGGGAAACTGAAAGCCAAAAAAAAAAGTGAAAGTCAGGGAACTATAATAACCAAAAACGTGAAGAGATTTATGAGTAAAAAAGACCTAAAATAATAGCGAAATCCATCTAAGGTAAACTTTGCCTGAGGGAGTTGGAACCTTAGTTTCCTTTAAAATAAGTTTAATTTTTGTGAAGTATTATTTCCAACATTTGTTCAGCGCGCAACGTTTGTTTTCAATAGTATAAGAAGATCCTGGACAAGATGCTCAACGCCAAAAAAGACTAGGAACTCATGAACGGATTGGAAATTGTTACTGGTAGCTTAAAAACGACACTCGTTTACAAGCAAATAACGGTATTATCGACGAACTGATAATAACGGGAGCCACTGCAAAGCAACAGCTTTAAAATATTTTGAGCAAACGCTAATAATTTCGATCAACTCAATAGCATGTAAAGGAAATATCATTGTCCAGTAACGTCCACCTCGTAACCCTCGAAATTTTGCATAGGACGTAATAAAAAAAAGTTGGTAGTAATAACTTAAAAGATACTGATAGGCATATTAAAGACGTTTTGTCTGTTAATGAAGGGCTGGCAGATCTTGTTTATTCAATGCACTTGTTACATTGGTTGACAACAAAACAACTTCATCTATGGGAAAGCAGTGTTGCTCCCTTCAAATGTTTTTAACCAGTGCGTTCCGTGGGTTGATAAAGTCTAACGTTTGATTTTGTCAGTTTTTATGGACTTCCTCTTTTTGAATTTACCTTGGAGTTAAACACTGTTATTACATCTTTGAATATTGTTAATATTTTTTTGGTAACAGACACAGACAACGAAACAAACATGCCGGATACAACTAACTCCGTTCACAGTATCTATATTCACAGAGACTTGATAAAAAGGGGGCATATATATCTTGAGAACAATAAAAACCTTAAAGTCGAAATAAATTAGATAAACCATGGCTTAAAAAATAAACTGTCGACACAGAGATATGACTCGCTTTTTGTAATTTTTATTGTATAATGCAAATTTTGAAATTACAATGGCAATATTAAATCATGCAAACTATGCAAAACATTCAAAGTCAATGAACCATGACTGAAGGTTCTGGGCGAAATAACCTCCATAGAAATGAGAAATGCTAATGCTTATAAAACTGAATACTCAATACCATTGACTTATCATAAATGGTTTCCTTCAAATTCTAACATAAACAAAAACTTTAATTTGTAAAGTATGAAAAAGTTTCAAAGTAAATGAACCATGATGAGTGGACGGGGCAATTTAATCTCCATAGAAATGAAACCTGCAAATTAATGCGTATACAACTAAATCACAAGAAGGGAAACGGTTTTGCTACCGTGTTCAAAGGCTGAATATTCGAACAAAAATAATGGAGTGCAAGCAGGCTATTTATAAAAATACCTTAACTAGTGTTCTAGCATTATTTGCAAATGTGTTATGCTGTACACGGTATTCGTACACATGATGAAATACAAAGCAAAGCATAGCAATTGAAGTATCGATTTTAAGTTATTATCATTCTTTATATACCTATATGGAGTTATTTTCTTTCGGAACGATAGGTCAGTCTTTTGAAGAAACAACCGGGACGATACCAAGTTTCAATGAAATGTTCTTCAAGGCATAAAATAATTACCTGTGTAAAAACAAATATAATAATATACAGCAACATTCGACAACCACTGAATTACAGGCTCCTCACTTGGGACAGGCACATACAGAATATGACGGGGTTAAACATGTTTGCGGGCGCGCCAACCCCCCCCCCCCCCCCTAATAAAAACAAACTGTAAAAATCAGTTGAAAAGGGCTTAACTCATCCGATTGATATAAACCACAAAAACAACTAACAAAACCACAAAAGACACAAAGTACAGTTCTGAGAGTACTCCCAGTTACTGGAAGGTAGTTCAAATCCAATAACAACTAATAAGAATATCGTGTATCTAAGACTAAAATATCAATTAGTACACATCCAACTTCCAAAAGATTTTAACAGTGTAAAGACGTCATTAACAGTCAGAGAAAAGCATGACCTAGTGCAATGCCAAAATATAGGTATCGACAGATTGTAGGACCGTGAATGTACATATCTTCGAATTTAATCTTGTTTTCGACTACCTGTTAGTTCTAAAATTAACCGGTCTTTATTTTTCACATTAGAGACGTTCAAAGGATTATCCACGTGCGGTCTACTCGATACTTCATGTATCAAACCCTCCACATTAAATTTGTAACAGCTTTTGAAACAAATATACTATCACCTAATGCTATTTGTTATTTCATAAAAACTTTTCTTCAGGCTCATGCAACAACAGAATTTTATAACCGCCTATAATAACATTCAAATGAAATCTGAAGCATCAATATATTTCCAATATTAATAGATTTTTCAAACGAACTTTAACATAAATATTATAATTTTCATATTCATAAAATGTTTGAAAAATATCAAAATCTTGTGAAAATGTCACTGTTTTGTTCTTTAGGAAGATCATCTGGTAGCTCCTGTACTTTCTTTCCCTTTATGCAGTGTCTTGCCCAGTGCCCATGTAGTTGTAGCAGACGTCTGAAGTTTTGGCGTTGTTTTGGTAACTTGAACTTGAACATTCACAGCCACCCTCGGATGTATCTGCAATCATAATCATTTCATTTCCTTTCTTGACCTGATCTGACGAATCTTCTAGTACCCGGACTCCCTTTTTAGGGCGATTCTTCCTTATGTTGTTAATTGTAGTATTAATGTTATCTTGTACCTGAGATCATCCCCTGTTGTTGGTGGGTTCATGTTGCTCAGTCTTTAGTTTTGTGTGTTTTGTGTACTGTTGTTTGTCTTTTCGTCGTTTTTCGTTGTTTTTTTTGCCATGGCATTGTCAGTTTGATTTCGACTTTTGAGTTTAAATATCCCTTTGGTATCTTTCGCCTCTCTTTTGTATATCTGAATTAAGTTCAAATTGTACCTGGTTCCCCTTAAATTTAAAGGTGTTCTCTGCTTTTTTCGCTCTTTTTACTAAGGTTTCTGTAGTTAAAAAAAATCTTCTCTGTGTTCTTCTCTCTGCCAGAAAGAATGTTATTAAAGTAAGTTGTCATAAGCGTTGGAAACTTCTGGTGTTTGGTCTTGTTCTGAATGAGATTTTCTTTTTGTCGATTCTGTAGCAGAATGTAAAGCTGGAATTGACTTGTCACGAGTCTTTGTAAATTCTGTTTCATCGAGGTCTAGCTCTGAATCGAACATCTTAATAATTAGTCTGCAAGTCGAGTGGTACCGCCCAACCTTCGATAAACTAAAAACCCTTTTTAGCTCACCTGGCCCAGATGGCCAAGTGAGCTTTTCTCATCACTTGGCATCCGTCGTCCGTCGTTCGTCGTCTGTCGTCCGTCGTCGTCCGTTAACTTTTACAAAAATCGTCTCCTCTGAAAATACTTGACCAAATTTAACCACACTTGGCCACAATCATTATTGGGGTATATAGTTTTAAAAATGTGTCCGATGACCCCGCATGCCAACCAAGATGTCCGACATGGCTAAAAATAGAACATAGGGGGTAAACTGCAAGTTTTGTCTATTATTTTGAAAACCGTTATAAAAAGAGAAAATCTGACAAGGCCAAAAATGTTCAGAATGTTGAGCTCTACCGATTGTTCGTTGACGTCGAAACTGTCAGGCGATTTCTTATAGAAGTTATTTCCCTTAAATGACAAATTTTACCATTTGTTTTAATTTTTGCCTCTTGAAAACTTTAGTAGATAGAGAACTATAAGTTGCAAAAAAATGATCAGCAAGACAAGATCTACAAATAAGTATGCATGGTCGAAATCGTCAGTCGACTCCTAATTAAAGTTATTACCCTTTGATGACGATTTTTAACAATCTTTTGCGTTTTTGCCTTATATCTTAAAAATCATAATAGATAGATAGAAACTTAAATAAGCAAAAATGATCAGCAAGACAAGATCTACATTTCAGACAATATGGAGGAAATTTTCCGACGACTCCTTATTGGAGTTATTGCCCTTTAATGACAATTTTTTCCAATCTATTCTTGTCTACAGTGTTGGAGAGAGTTCATTGTTGGTTATGCACATAGACCTAGGTGAGCGACACATGCTCTTTAGAGCCTCTAGTTCGATCTATCGAATACCGTACTAATGTGCATAACAGGTTCACTCAATTGTTAAACAAGAGACGATATTAAGTAACGAAATTCATTCGCATAACGCAAATAAATGTATGTATACAATGTCAATCTTGTAAAGGAGAGAGGCGAAAGAAACCAAAGGGACTCTCAAATTTAAAATTCTTATTTTGAATGAACAGTTTACAAACAAAGGTTTCTTATGGGTGTTAAATACAGTTGTATTCATATGGGTTGTTCAAAGAAAATGGCAAAGTTGAAAAATTCGAAAAATAAGGCCGTATTATCTTTTGAAGTACTCTGGCGTTCACAATGAATGTGTAAATTCATATCATCCATCCATATTGTTATCAATTGGTAGTAATAGATTGCAATGAAAATGCAAAAGTATCTCATAAATATGAAATGTATTTTCTATGAAACTGATGACTTTGACTCGTATGCTTGTCGTCCAAATGAACAACCTTTTCTGTATTTGTAAATTATTACCTACACTGGACCCGTTTTAAATCAGATTTTACAACAATTAGATAAGTCACAGTTCTTCAAATCGCGTCTACATGTACATGTTACCGACAAAATTAAATACAATAATCAATTGATTTAAAAGAATAAAGGCATTGTACCCATATGCTGTCAGTATATTGTAAATGGCATAATTTACATGGTCCTAAAGCGAAAATCTCTCAGAAGCGTTTCTTTTTTTATTATTATTATATCAGGCAGAGTTGACCTTTGATGAATTTGGCTATTCTTTTTCGATCACTTTTGGTCATATAGCTCCTGGCGTTTTTACGTATTAATACATCTCCGCTTTCAACGGTTTGGGTTTGAGCGTTTCTTGATGAAAGCAAATCCAGATAACTGCTTCGTACATTCAGAATATATAATGTGTTATTTTTGTTATATGAAGTTTTCTATAGAAGGAATTAACATGAATACGAACAATTATCAAACTGTGCTCATTATGTATGCTCCTCATTATTTCCAGTTAGGGAATGCTTATTAACATGGTATTTTCTCCTGATATTTTAACTCCTTCAAAGAATATTTTTGTCTAAAATATTAATTATGGAGTCTTATTATTTACCTTCGATGACGTATATGAAACTATTTTGTATTCTGGTTTCAGCACCCCCTTCGGAATTAAGAGTGATAAATATGACCGAGAAAAATACAATTATCGGAAAGGAAAATGAAAATCTTACATTAGCATGTTATACCTTAGGAGGCATTCCACGTGGTAAAACAATTTGGAATCATGGAAAGAAGAAGCTAATGACGAATAAAGATAACAACGAAACGGCATTTTATTCATTAACACTGAATAGAAATCACAATAAACAAATATATACATGCATAGCAGAACACGACATGTTACGAACTCCATTAAACCAATCCATAAAACTGGATATCCTATGTAAGTATCAGGCCCTATTATCAGTCTTAAAGCGAACCATAATAACCAGTAAACTGTTTAACCAAATAAAGCTAATAAAATTCAGGAACAAAAGTCATATAAAGTAAGTCGCCTTGGACACATGCCTGCAAATGAGACAACAATCTACTTTAATAGGACCAAATAATGAAGATGGGAATAATAGTCACCATACGGGATCTAACAATGAATCAAAACCTAATAGAAAGCTATAGTAGACCATAGGATGACAAAATATGAAATAATTCAAAAGAATAATACATTTTATACTTTATTTGGCCTGTTAAAATATTTTTGATTCGAGCATCACTGATGAGTCTTTTGTAGACGTATACGAAACGAGCGTCTGGCGTACAAAATACCAATACTGGTATCTATGATGAATTTATTTCAATACAAGTTGAACCATTTAAAAAGTTTTTGCAATGCTACTGGTGCATTATTCACGTACACAAGGCCTAGGTTCGGCACTTTATATTTGACAGAGGTTCATAGATTTGAGTGCTAGTATGTAGGAATGCTCATGGTTTTTTATCACCTTCATTGCTAGCTGAACAATGAAATCCGTAGAGCCTTTTCAGTGGAAGTAGCAAAGTATCAATCATACTCTGATTATTTACATATGAAAATAAGAAGATGTGGTATAATTGCCAATGAGACAACTCTCCACCAGAGACCAAATGACACAGAAGTTAACAACTAAAGGTCTCCGTACGACATTCAACAATGAGAAAAAACCCATTCATTGTTCAGACTTTTCAAAAGATTTTTTAAGATCACAACGACGGTTCAAGAGACTGGAATTCAGTTACTAGTGCGGGTAGAATCGTGTTTGAACATGCATAGAACAAATGTTTACCATATCACATCGATGCTTGGTTTTCAGTTTACCAAAATACCGAACTCCAATGTAAATTAAAAAGGGACAGTCAATAAAACTTACGAAATCAAACGTTAGAACACTTTCTTCATACCTAGTATAGTTTTGAACCTTCTCTTCGGCAGAGAGCTGAATTTTTCAATGAAAATCATCCGAGAGTTGAATGTTTGGTTTTTGAATCCCTGCCCTGATGTTATATTGTTAATTGGGTTAGATTTTCCAAGAAAATGTTGGGAATTCAAAAATTAGATACGCATGAATAACCATGAAAACGAACAGAGTAAACTGGGAAAAATTCCAAAGTGGACCGGATTTCCATGTGTACCGTATGTCCTTTTGTCCTTTCTGTCTGTCTACAAAAAGGGAGGCTATAGATACCAAGGGGACATTCAAGACTTCAGAATGAAAATAATAAGAAAAATCAATTCAACGTTTTGGTTAAACCTTTTTAATATTAAAAAAACAAAGTTCTCAGATCTGAATTTTCCTTGTTAAAATTAACAATGCGACCTGTTCTTTGTTCTGCCATTGAGCACAGTAAATGAACAGATAGTCCTATTTGAAAACTAATTTGTTTTGCTAGTAAAGTGTACATATATATTATATCGGTAACCCAATATATGAAAGTGACCATTTAGGCTTTTCAACCTTGTAATAACCCGATTTAGAAACTGTGTATGATAGAGAACCCCGATTGTTTCGTACTCCAAATTATCATCATGATTCACAAATCTTTCTAGATTATCCTCGTCTTCAATTTGTGTTGCCAAATGGACCAGTTTTAGTAGGACACAGCGTAAATTTGTCATGCTCATATTATAGCAACCCGTTAGATGCTGAAATATCATGGACAAAAAATGGTCAAAACATCGACTCTAGTTATTCCATTGTCACAAAAATTTGGAAAAGTGAAAGAAACTTAACTGAAATAAAGCTAATAGCAGAAGATACCAAAGGTGTAACTGCTATCATATTTCAAAATGTGACAAAAACAGATGAAGGAGCATACACGTGTAATGTAACTAATACTGAAGGATCAGCAAGTAAAACTGTGTATTTAGTTGTGCAAGGTAATTATATTAATATATTCCTAAAGGAAAACTGGTCATCAACTCTTTTCTTTTTTTTCCAAATTCATCTATGAAAAAGTTTTAAAAATATGTTTGAAAGCATTTATTATTATTTTTTTTTTTTCGTATATTTCTACATTATTTCATGCATGGTATATGACTTATCACGTGATATCAAAGATAACAATAATGGCATTAGTGGTAAACTTGAGATTCGGTATCAATAAAAAAAAGTCAGTAACTCAAAATCAATAACAAAATTAATTGTTCGATATATACGGAGAATTGTTGGTCTCATACAGATAAACTTCATAAAGAGTTGTGTTTTATCAAAGTCCATGTAAAGTCCAGCGCTGGAGATCTTAAATCCAGAGCTGTAGCCTAAATGTCAACTACTAGAATTGTAAAGTACAGCTCAGTAAATGTATAGTCTAGCGCTGCAGATTCATTAAAAAACCAGCGCGGCAAATGTAAAATCTAGCGCTGCAGATATTTAAAAAGTCTAGCACTGAAGTTGTAAAGTAGAACGTGTTAATACAAAGTCCAGCGCTGGAGAAGTAAAGTGGACTTTGCATATCCAGCGCCGGATATGTGACATGGACTTTGCATCTCCAGCGCTGGGTTTTACATCTCTAGCGCTGGACTCCGTAGAAATTCACTCTGCTTGAAAGTAATTTGGACAAATCATGTGCAAACAGAATCTAATCTAAAAGCTCTTTACATATACAATTTTCAGAGTATTGTTCAAAGTTGGAGATCATAATTTCTTGATATCTCCTTTTTTCAAACGCTAGGTTTTCATGCACGCTATCTTACTCGTTCTAATGGGAACTTTCAATTCTAAATTAAGGGTTTTGCGTGAATATGATATAAACATAATGCCCTTGGATGAAGGTCTTTAGGTAGAATTGGGAAATCTAGTGACAAAATATTACTTCCCCTGTAAAAACTGTAAACTAGATCTTCACAATGTTTTTCCCGTTTAATCAAGGACGCTATCAATTATAAATGCAAGGGAAAACGTTCTAGTAAATAGTAAAAATACAAATAAGTTGAAATAAAAAACAAAACTTCCATTTCATGTTATAATTTCCCTCCTTCAATAGAAAATGACGAGTACAGCAGGCTATTGGAGCTTAATGTATATTTGGTTAAAAATGTTGCTATGGGGATAACTTCCTGGAGTACCAACTTTATTTTATTTTTTCTACAGTTTGTATCCCTCTCTGGAACATGCCAATTATCCGTATTTTTATGTAGATAGATCAGAGAAGTTCAGAGGGGGGGGGGGGATCCAAAGGAATCAATTGATATGCAGCAAAGATTGACACTTTTGATACTAAATTACTAATTCACACAGACATCATCCCAATCTAAACATTGAATGCGAATAAATCGAGCAGACCACAAAAACATGTATAAAACTCGAGACGACCTTTTCTTAAAATTGTATAAAAATAGTAAAAAGATACCTGTTTAATGAAAAATATTTATTTCATTAAACAAGTTTTTAACCTTTTTTCACGATGACAGCTATGTGGAATTTTCAGACATTGACCAAAACCTTAATTTTAATAAAGGATCATAGGGTCCTTACAAAAAAGTTAACGATATATGCATTCATGCAAAATATTAATCAAACCAGCTGAATTGTTTCCATAAAGAAACTAAATACATGTTTTCTCGCGGGATTCTACGCTAAACTTTGTTTTGCCATGATGGATATTTCTGATTTCACAGTCGAAAATTATTTTAATTGACGGTTATAAAAACACATTCCATTATAAATTACATTCAGTTTGGTCATTGGTTTCCTAAATATGTATTTTTATGCCCGCACATATTTTTTACTGCTCAAAGATTTAGCTTTAGGAATATTAATGCTAGATATGTATAGTGATTGTCCTATACGTTTTTTTTTTTTTTAATTTCAAATAGATTTCTGTTGTAATGCGTTCTGAATATGTTACAGATATTTACAGTGAAAAAGAAATAACGGATGAATTGAATAACCCCTCTGCAATTTTAATATATATGGTAGTATGCTGCTGTGGAGTGATTATTTTCGTCTCAAGTGCTCAAATGTATACTTGTTGGAAATCGGGTTTGTATCTTCATTACTACCTACAGCTTTACACAGGTTTTAATTCAGTAGATCGCAAATCGGTATTTTTGCTCGAAAATAGTTAAATTCTAATGCATTTTTATTTTTTTAAAAGTATGACAAAAATACAGAACTCCAAGGCAAATTCAAAAAGAGGGAAGTCCATAAAAACCGACAAAATAAAACGCTATCAATCAACGGAACAAGCGAACAACAACTGCCATATTAATGTATGTCAACGGAACAAGCAAAAAACAACTGCCATATTAAAGTATGTCTGGTAAAAGTATCTAAGAATTTCTATAAGTATTAAATCTAAAAGCGATTGGATTTTTATACAATAATGCATAACTTTGAGGTGCACGGGTATACCTAGCTAATTCTGACATTCACCAATGACAACAACTTTGTGGATTATTATACCCTTTTTTCATAAAAGGCAACAAAATTAACCAAAAGATACCAAGTGGTAAGTCATCACTTACATATCCAAGGCTGAGAAACTTACGATAATACATAGTTACCTGACCCCCTTATGTTATGAAAGTCAAAAAACATGTTTTTCTTAAACACTTCAGACGCAGATATCAGTAAATAAGCGTTATTGGTCCCACTTATATTCTCAAAAACCCAACATGATATTCAAATTATTCAAACAGTCTGTTAATTATTAAAACTTTTAACCCCGCTGCAATTGTTTGCACCTGTCCTAAGTCAGAATTCTGATGTTCAGTAATTGTTGTTTGTTTATGTGGTTCATAAGTGTTTCTCGTTTTTTATATAGATTAGACCGTTGGTTTTTCCCGTTTGAATGGTTTTACACTAGTAATTTTTGGGGCCCTGTATAGCTTGCTGTTCGGTGTGAGCCAAGGCTCCGTGTTGAAGACCGTACTTTGACCTATACTGGTTTACTTTTATTAATTTTGACTTGGATGGAGAGTTGTCTCATTGGCACTCATACCACATCTTCTAATGTCTATGTATCACTTCTGAGCTCGAGAGAACTCAGCATGCAAGCCTAACATAGGACAAAATATGCCACAGTTAAAGATGTGAACAACGTTAACTGAACGACCTTAAAAATGAACAAAACCTAAACTGTATTGTAAGCAATGTAAGCTTTTTTGTATGATACATGATTGCAGGCAAATATAAAATTGTAAAAATGTACCTTTGAAAGGTGCCACAAAAAGTGATTAACGAAGTGAAAACTTCACAACACTTCAAATGAAAATGCACATTTAAAGTATAAATGTAATGTTGCGGGAACAAATTTGAAGATAAAGATCAATCGATAGATCATTTGGAAAACCACCATGGAAAAAAGAGACCGATGTGAAATTGGCAAAGGAACTTTTTATTTTAAACAAGTCTATGAAAATTCATAAAGAGAGATTTTCACATGGTCGGACGGACAAACGTCGGCTGCGAAATGTACCCTGTGAATGTGTCAGCTAAGTTCTTAATTCGTTTTTCGCACCTTTCACTTGTTGATTATATTGATTTTATTTTGCTCGAAATCGTATTATAAAAAGTAAAATAACAAAAATATCGAACTCCAATGAAAATTCAAAAATGAAAGTCCCTAATCAAATGGCAAAATCAAAAGCTCAAACACATCAAACGAATGGATAACAACTGTTATATTCCTGACCTGGTACAGGCATTTTCTTTTGTAGAAAATGGTGGATTAAACCTGGTTTTATAGCTAGCTAAATCTCTCACTTGTATGACAGCCGCATAAAATTTCATTATATTGACAACGATGTCTGAACAAAACAAACAGACATAATAGGTAAACATGTCCAAAAAATGGGTACAGCAGTCAACATTGTGTTATAATCTTAATCACTATGAAAAAAACTAAAAACATATTTCATCAAAGAAAAACCAAAAAGGCATATAGACATAGCTCATTAGCAAATACGAAGGACAAGAATACAAAAATTACCATAGCGCAATAACACAATGACGGGATGTATAAGTACCGAGCCACATCAAATGGATATTACTAAAAATAGACTTAACAGTAAAAGTAATAATTTACATAGACAAATAAAAGAACAATATAACACGTTATTAAGATGATAAACAACGTTAGTTCCTATAATGGTTTACTTTTATAAATTTTGACTTGGATGGAGAGTTGTCTCATTGGCACTCATACCACATCTTCTTATGTCTAATTAGTTCCTAGAATCTATACTTCAAGACAATCGTGTATTATTTGTGAAGTTGATACGGAATATTTATCAACAAGGTCTTGGTTTTTTCCGACGAACCTTTTTAGAAAAAGGACGTGACGTTCTTTGATCTACCCCTGGTTCATCAACTTTCTGCTCAGACATTGGTGACGTTTTACAAAGTCTGAGTAGCAGCTGCAAGCTCTTGAATACCGAATGAGTTGGGAAATGTATATCCCATATGCAGGTGAAGTTGGTATATTGCTACTAACACGCCTGGTAAACCATCAAATCTCAACCAAATGGTTAAGCGAGAAAACAGTTTACTGGCACTTCCTGTTGAGCTTTTCTGGTACAAAATACCAAAAAAATATAGATAAGGTAGGTCGACTTTTCATCAATTAATTGTCAATCTGTAAACATTTTGTTAAATAGGTGAATATCATGCCAAAGATAACGGAATAAGAGCTTGCGGCGTTCATTACTCGGACCAATGTGATTTAAAATGACATCGGAATGACTTTTCTCCCGCAGGTAAGTGCGGCCAGCTCAGTGAGTTTTTGACAAAATGGTAATGCGTTCATCAAGACGTAACGCATATATCAGTATGTAAGTGTTCTTCTTCGTCACTATAAACGTATAATAACAGTTTTTCTATTTCTTTACAAATAAAATTTTATTAAGCTAAATATGTTTAATAGTATGTCAGGTTGAGTTTGTCTGGTATTGGTTGTGATATTCTGGAACAATGTTGAGATTTTCTGTCAAATAAAACTTCCAACTAGCTATTGTCAATCAGATACGACTGTCAAAATTCTTGTTATCAAACCCTCTGTATATTGGTTGTCATTATAGCTTGTTTTTGCTTTGTCGTTAGTTTTGTATGACCGAGTCCTGTAGGTCTATTCATACAGATACTAAAGAATAGTGGTTTTTAAAGCCGTGAAAACGAGATATAAAGCCTAGCGCTGTAGAGCTGAAGATGTTTTTAAGTTAGCGCTGGAGGAATAAAGTCTACCGCTCAAGATTAAAGGTCTAGCACTGTAGATATAAAGTCGAGCGCTGTAGGTATTAGGAAGCAATACATAGTTAGGAGTTTGGTTTTGCAATTTGGCTGCGGTGAATTTGTTCATTAAGAAAGTTGGTGTGCAATAAAAGATATTGTTAGATAATATAACTTTCAAAAGGGCTTAATATGTACATGAAGACTGTTTTTCGCATGCTTTAATGTGAATTTTCTGTTTGACAGTCCTTATATCACATCCGTACCGACATTAAGCCCAGAAATTATTTTTATACGCTCATACTGTTCAAATCAATTTTATCAAAATAGTATGTTATGATAAATGCATATGGTTTTTATTTGACATCTAGATAGATAAATGTCAATAGTTTTACAATAAGACAATAAAAAAAATTTACAATAAAACATGCGAAAAACAGTCTTGATGTTCATATAAAGCCCTTTTGAAAGTTATATTATTATTCAGCTATTTACAATAAATTATATTGCACACCAAATTTCTTATTGAATAAATTCACCGGGGCCGAATTTCAAAACCAAAGTCCTAACTGTGTATTGCTACCAGTAACGTAATACCTACAGCGCTCGACTTTGAATCTACAGCGCTAGAACTTAAATCGTGAGCGGTAGACTTTATTCCTCCAACGCTTACTTAAAAACATCTTCAGCTCTACAGCACAAGACTTTATATCTCGTTTTCTAGGCTTTAAAAACCACTATTATTTCGTATCTGTATTATTAGACCCACAGGACTCGATCATACAAAACTAATGTCAAAACAAAAACAAGATATCATGACAACCAATATACAAAGGGTTTGAGAACACGAATTTTGACAGTCGTATCTGATTGACAATTAGCTATTTGCAAGTTTTATTTGACAGAAAATCTCAACATTGTTCCAGAATATCACAACCGATATCACCCAAACTCAACCTGACATACTTTATAACATATTTAGCTTAATAAAATTTTATTCGTAAAGAAATAGAAAACAAACTGTTATTATACGTTTATACCGACGAAGAAGAACACTTATATACTGATATATACTTTACGACTTGACGAACTCATTGCCATTTTGTCAAAAACTCACTGAGCTGGCTGCATTTACCTCCGAAAGAAAAGTCATTCCAATTTCATTTTAAATCACATTGGTCTACCCTATCTTAGTGCGATTTGATGAGTTAACCCTTCTCCATCTTATTTTTAAAGTTACATGTATACATCCGCTCCAAAGGAAGGGTTATACTGATTTATGTTCGTCGGTCCTTCTGGTCGTGTTTCCGTTCATTTTAAACAATGTAAGTTACCTTTTTATCGTGTTTTTTCTTCTTCTATTAATCAAACATACGCTTCCTGTCAATTCTGTACTTATGCTTCTTGCACATAATGCACATATATAAGTTTTCGTTTCATTTTTCTCTTGAACTACAAATCAAGGCTGTCTGAAATCTGGAATCAACCTAGATGTTCGCACGCTATATCGTGTGGTGCGTTTTGTCATCCCTATAATGGGGTTATCATTAGTGAGCAATAACCTACAGTCCAGTTTGCTCGTTCTAATGTTTTGCTGTTACACCTCTGTCCCAGGTTAAATGAGGGTTGGGCGCTTACAAACATGTTCATCTCCGCAACATTTTTTTTTGTATCTGTCTGGAGCATGTAGTTAAAGGTTATCATTGATTGATGTCTGTCATATTTGTTGTTTGCTCATTGTGTAAGCATAAATAAGGCCTTTGATTTTCTCTTTTAACTTGTTTCACATTTTGTCATGCCTGGACCTTTTATAGCTTTACAATACGGTATGAGTTTGCTCATTGTTGCAGGCAAGTGCAAGTACAATTCCTTATATTTGCTGACATCTCTGTCCCATATTCTCGGATGAACAGGTGTCTCATTGACAATAATATCATGCCTCTTTTTTTAATATAAAGCGAATGTTACTTTGACTACCATTAATGTGTTAACTCCGCCTCATTCTATATGTACCTGTCTCAAGTCAGGAGTCTCACTCTGTAATATTCAATGGCACCCTTGTCGTTTGTTGCCGTCGGTCATATATGAATTCTTTTTGATTATTTAGTCATAAACCAGGCCGTTGGTGTTTCGTTTGAATTTTCGACACATTCTGTCATGCCATAGCCGACTTTAAGGTATGGTTCACCGCAGGGTGACCTATATTAGCTTAAATCCACGTCAATTTGACTCTGTTGGATACTTTGTCATTGACAATCATACCATATCTCCTTAATTTATATATATGGTTAACTTATCTCGATTTAAGATTTTCGTTGCATATCATTTAATGTTGTCTCTTGTAAATTCTAACTTCACATAAGTGTCTTCTTGTTTATTTTCAGGTAAATTGAGAAGGGTTTTTAGTAGAACTAGAACGTTTGAAACGGTTACTCCTGGAGAAACTGTTCATTTAGATAATTTTAATACAGTTCAAAACGTATCGGTAAGATAATTTTTAAAAAAATGTGATTGTGTTCGCTGGTCGCTTCTGTTCCTAGTACGACAGAAATGTAAAGAGTTAGGGCCAATTTTTATCTGAATTCCTTTTCACACATGGTTCTTCAAAGTGTCCAAATCACAGCTTCATGTATTAACTGTCCAAGTGTTACAATATTATATCGTATTTCTTAGCATGTAACTAACCAAATTAATATAAATGCTAACGTATGGCTGAACACTTCTAATTTGAAGAAATCGTGGCTTCTATTGAGTATTTGATAAGGAACTGAACAGAATTATGTGTCCATTGGACACAATACCGTGCTCGCGCTATCACATTTCTGTGTTCACTGAGGCGTGACATTTGCGTCAAAGCATGCCTATGAAAGTAAGGGGCATAATGTTTTTAGGTCTCTTTTCAAGGACCAGACTTCAATATTGATATAATTTCGTGGTAAATGGAAATTTCTGCAGTTTAATTGTATTTATTAAATCGATTTTTCTTTCTTAATTTCAGGACATAAACACAGCTCACTACATGGAAATAGAATTTTAGATCAGCTACTGTCATTGCTCAAGGAATATTTTCAAGCTACAAGGCTAATTTTTTTAAACGACATGTAATATAGAATTCAGACTGCTTTTCTTTTTAATATTTTTTATAAATGTTAGGCAAACACTGTATGTAAATGTAAGTGTCTTCTCATTTGCCATTATACCACATGGTTATACTGCATCATTAGTTGTATAAATATCATGAATTACTTTCTGCTAAATATCTCTAATAAACATGATGTAGTAACTGTTACTAATGGAATGCTAGTCTAAGAGGGTGTCATCAGCTTAGTGGTCAATGCTTCGGTACGAACTTAATTTATAACATATCTTTTTCTAAAATACCGTCTGATGAATTAAGGAATTATTATTAATCAAAGGTTTGAAATCCTTCATGCAAATTTGACCTAAGCTGAATTTCGATATTTTTTTATGTCACTTTTAGTCAAATAGCTCTTACTGATTTTACGTATATACACATCACTGGCTTTTGAATGATTAGATTTGAGGTTTACTGATGAACGTTAATCAAGAAAAGCGATGCAAATCCACGGTTTTTGTACATTGTTATTTTCATATACGGAAACATTGTTGGTTCGATTGTTAAAAATAAAGACTTGCAGATTTACTATGCGAGGAATGAATATAAAAGCAAATGTAGTTTTACTTATTATGCAAAAATGATAGATCAACTGTACGTAAATGTGAACTCTAAAAACATTTACGAGACCTTATATGTTATTAATAAAGGAAAACATCATTTTTATTTTTTTGTTTAAGTAATCGGTCCGAATAAACGGATATTGACTATAAGAATGGATCTCACAAATAAGCTTTTGCTTTTGCCATTTTATAAAGGACTTTCCGTTTTAAATTTCCCTTGGAGTTCAGTATTTTTGTTTTTTTTACTTTTTTCTCAATGGTTTGTCATTTCGGGACTGTTATAGCTTGTTATGCGGTATGAATTGACTATTAGTGAAGGCCGTACGGTGAACTATAGTTATTTGGTCTCTGGATATACTCAAATCCCTTGGAATAAGTTAGCAGCTTAGTGAAATAAATAAAATATTCATGATTTTTTTTTAAATCAGCAATAATAAACTGCACGATACTGAAAACCTTTTGTATCTAAAGAAAACAAAAATAAAATAATGACCAAGGATAACTAAAAGCCCCTTTTATCTGACAAGAGTACACACGCTGTTCAAAACGCCTCACCCGCTTTACTGATTATATGACTTTATGTTATGGGATAAAGGTTTTACCACAGGTACCACAAAGAGTTCACGTTTTATCAAGAATAAAAGATGGGGAGGTCAAGGTCACATGAACTCTGTATGAAAGATACACTTTAAAGTCAACCAGTTTTTGTATGATATTTTTCTTACGATTTTGAAAAGTCTTAATTTACCCATTTTTCTCTAAATTTTCTTGCACTTTTCTGATTTTTATCTTGTTTCAATAGTTTTAACACATTCTGAATTTGTCTCAACATATTTTTTAAGTCTAAACACTGTCTGAATTTGTCGTTAAAAATTATAAGACTAAACACTTTCTGAATTTGTCTCCACACATTATTAAACGTCTTAATTCAATCTGATATTGATTTGAACACATTATAAACAGTTTTTAATCTGTCTACAAGGTTTAGGAACGGCGGGGGAGGGATCCTTTTTGATAGGACATTTTTGCTTTTTTCCATTTGACATTTTCACTTCAATATTTGGAACATTTGCGTTATTTCAATAGGATATTTGTGCTTTTTCAACATAAACAGATGAGTTATCAAGGTAATAACGTTTACGAAATCGTTTAATATCAACAACACAGATCATTGATATATTGACATAAAGCTAAAAGAGACAACACTTCAAGATGGTGGATGGAAGTAAATAGACAATAATAGTGTATTGACTTTACATATCAACGATATAAGGATTCGGCCAGTACACTATTATTGTCTTTATACTGCAATTTAGAAAAAAAAACATTTTCAATTGTTGTTTATAGTGTTATTGTTTATTATTTGATTTAAATATTAGGAAAAAATCCCCTTTAAATAAGCCTCACATTTGGCGGAGAACTGTCTGAACATATCATCTGTAGTAAAATGATATTGGTGTTCAGTTTACCGGGGACTTTCAAGAGTATATTTCAATTTTCCAAGACCAATTAGCGAAACCAAATTGCCATAGTCTCTACCAGTAATGTAAAATTCGTATGACTTTTGTTTTTATTTGAATTCAAGAATTTAATAAAAGTTCTCATGTTGTTTTATTTGTGTTTAAAACTATTATAAAAAATAGACATAAGCCCCGAAAAATGTAAATTTGCTTGTTGTTAATCTGGAACAGTGAAACAATTCGATTCTCCTTTCTTTTTTTTTTCATTTGTAAACTTTTTAATCTGATGAATCAACAAACCAGAATTCTTTTCCTTTTCTCTTGCTCAATGAAATAAACTGTTTTGTCTACATTTTGTTTATTACATATAATTTAATCTTTTGTTATTTCTGTATTTTAATGCCGATTTTATAATATGTATCAGAGACATATAAATTGAAAACAACGTTCAAACCTATGATTGCGTTGGATAAAAACCGCAATTTTTATACGTGTGCATGCAAAACAAATTTCTTGGTAGAGGGGTCTACATACAGCACAAACAACATTTTCCAAAAGACCAAAAAAGTGAAAAAGTATATTTAAACAAAACGCATTTGACTAACAGGTCGAACAACGGATGTTCTTAAACCCTGCTGACTAGTATTGCCGATTGCCAAATAAACACATCTCAAGATGTAACAAAATGGATCTTTATTATTAATTTAATACCAAACAGAAAACTTGCGGAAAAGATGGTATACCGCAAACATGAGGTGCAAAAATTAGTACACCATATCCGGATTTCGACAATTAATAGAGATTATCAAAATTTTATATTTTCAATAATCTAGTTTAATTTAATCAAATATTTGTGTGGGTGTTGCAGCCTTTAGCTCATTGCCATATATGGCGCTCTCACGTGCAATTTGAATTTTGGAATTCCCGTATCGGGCACTTATTAATTTGCTATCGACAACAAAGCAGGTGCTGAAGAAAATACTTTAATTATTAAAAAACTACAAGATGCCAAACAAAAGAAATGCCGGGGGATCGCCATCAAGGGCCATTGAAAAGAAGAGGAAGCAGACCATAGCCAGAAATTAGTAGTACTTTTGCTAATTAATATTCATAATATGTAAATGAGAATTGTACCACGTGATAATAGTTTGAACTGGACTGGCTTGATATCATTTAAATCTTTAAAGCACGGATATAATAAGTTGCCCGTCATAGAGTCCTTGTTTATAATCACTCTGATATTTCCGTAAAGATGTCAGGCAGTCAAAATCAAAACAATGAACGCGATTTTAGTGAATTTTTCGTGTTTTCGTGAGTTTATTCTTCTTGAAATATGGGCATTTTAACTTTACGAGGGAACCTAGAGTTCAACGACTACATATACAAGGTTTGGACTTTGGACATTCAAGTTTCAAGTTTCATCCCAGCAATCTGTTTTTTTTAATGACCTTGTTAGCCAATTTTCAACACGAAGTTTGCAAATTTGACCTTTCAGCCATTTTAGCCTGTATTTTATACTGCAATGTTAAAAGCCTCTCGCTTCGATTTTTAAAAAAGCTCAGGAACCTTGATTTTTTCAACGACAGTCATTATGTTTCGTTTAAATGGTGTATATTGTTGTGTATATTTATTTTCTGTCCCCGTAACCTGTCTATCACTTAAATTAAATTTAAAACAGACATTTTTTCAAAATTCCCTATCATTTCAATATAGTTTCCGTGACCCGTATCCGATTTCTTTAGTATAATATTCAAATAAGCAAAGTGGCGTTGATTTCTGGATATGCGACCAGCAGGAAAGAAGGACAGGGAATACGGAACGTAGACGTCACTCAAAAGAAGGACGGAGTTGGACGCAAACGAATGGAAAGAAAAGGACAGGGGTTGGATCACGTGGAGACACAAGGACCAGAATAAAATGCTGAAATATCATCAGGTTTAAACATGTATGTGAAATATGCAGTGGCAAACACAGGAAGGCCCAATGTAATAACCGGGCCCAAGAAAGAAGTAACAAAAAGTATTATTTTTTATTCATTGGGAAATACTTCTGTTAAAGTATCTGTCTTGGAAAATTATTTAGAATTTTACCCACATAACAATGTAGCACATGAAATTATATCTGGTTTCAAATATGGTTTTTCATTAAAATATTTTGGCTCTAGGGAACCAAGGGAGAGTTCTAATTTAAATAAAAGTATAAAAAAAGTGCAATAGAGCTACCCAACATTTTTTAAGAAAAACTAATGAAGGAAGTCAAACTTGGTCGCATTACTGGTCCTTTCAGATACCCGCCTTTTCCCACACTTCAGGTATCACCAATGGGGCTAGTGCCAAAAAAGAATGCAGATTTTAGACTTATTCAACATTTACCTATCTTGAGAATAATTCAATGAATGATTTTATAAAGATCATTGTTCAGTGCAGTACAGTTCAGTGGACGAAGCAGCATGTTTGATTAATATGCACAAAACATTTGCCCGTTTAAGTCAGTGTGATGTAAAGGCGGCTTTTCGCATATTGCCAATAGACAACTTTCGAGTTCGATGCATTTCCGTCAAAAACTCTGGTTTTAGTGAACATCATTCGTGCGTTTAGGGGCATCGTCACTTCCATTCCAATGTTGAGCGAGTGGTTGGAAAACTATAATGCTATATTGCACGAATTATTCGGCAAATTAAATTCTCATAATTGACAATCAGCACTGCTGTCATTAAGGAATTGTGATTAAGTACTTACAAAACAAACGTTATTTCTAGTTTATCCTGCACAATGACGATCAATAAGACGCTTGATGAACGTTAATAGTGCAGGGATACAGGCGATCCCCTCTATCTGGTAAATGACGTCATAAAGGCGGTCATAATTGACGAGTTTTTTTTTTGGTGAAGGATGTACTAGAAAGTGGTCTATTGCCCCGCAGGATTTTGACTTGTTTGGGATAAAATTTCAGGGTGAATATTATCTTAATAAAATGCTGCCAATGGGGGCCTCAATAAGTTGTGCCCTTTGGGAGAAATTTGCAAAAGCTTATAGATAAAGATAATACAGCAAAAAAAATGGAAATGATAATATCCTCCATTATTTAGATGATTTTCTTTTTGTCGAGTCGAGCCAAACATCAAAGGTTGGCAATACTTTGAAGATATTTCAAGAGGTATGCGATAAAATAGGTATTCGTCTTGCTAGTGACAGGACTACTTTGCCTACTACATTACTGATTTTTTGGGGTATAGAATTTGATACGCAAAATTTAACCATGCGGCTTCCAAATGAAAAACTTGTCAAACTCTCACAAAAAATCAGAGATACCTTAGACAGTTCTAAAATAACAGACTTGCAATCTCTTCTTGGGCTCCTGAATTTTGCTTGCAAGGTGGTTGCTCCAGGCCGCACCTTCTGCCGCAGACTCATAAATTCAACAATGGGGGTAAGGAAATCATATTACAAAATTCGAGTAAACAAGCAGATGAAAGCAGATTTAGGAGTTTGGTTAGACTTTTTAAAACAATACAATGGTGTCACTGTAATAAC